CCTTCAGCATAATAATTGAAGTTGTGAGACTTGTTCACCTGCGTACATTTGCTTGCTACACATTTTCTCCCTTCTGTCTTGGTAGTGCATTTCTGTTTGGTTTGAGTTTTTAGTTTCAGCTCAAAAATGGTCTGGAAGTCAAATAACGTCTGCAGAAAGACGAATACATTTAGATGCAGGCTGTACAGAGAATTTTGTCAAGGGGACTGTAACTGTTGGACGTTTTCGGCAATCTTATTGTATTTATATCGTCAAGAAGTGCTCGGCTTGGATAGTTTTTTCTCGAACGTGCACATCTCTGATAGCTTCCCTTTTGTTAGGCCTACTAAGGGTGCGTGTTCACTGAAACAGACACCAACCGACCTGATTCCGTCCGTCTCTCGAAAAGTCGGTAGTTGAAATAGAGCAGAGTTTTTTCCTAAGAAATAAGTGAAAATACCGTTTGGCTGTGTCAACAGACACGACACGACACGTCCCGACAAAAGACACGTCGGTTGGAAAGCCGCTTGCTGCATTTTTGCCGGGCCGGGTGGTGACTCATCAGCCATACGGGGCTAAAAGGAGCTTTAAAAATATTCTAGTTTTGAGTTCGGATTAAAAATCTAATGACATATTCATACTCAGCTTCAAAATTAGCAAAGTCTACGTGCAAACCACGTGGTTTAAATGCATATTAAGAATTTTACAATGTCTCTTTAAAAACCATACATTTCTTTTTCCCGCCTTGGGTTCAAGTGACCTCTTGACTATTCATAGCCCCGTATCGAGAACACAGCCGGCCACAACATCGGTCTAGCGTACACATCCGGGGAATAAGTAGGACAACAGACTAGACGTGTCTTTTCCGAACTGTGTGGACACACAAGAAGGAAACGACCTGACCGATTTTCCTCCTCACGACAAAAAATCAGATCGTGTCTGTCCCACTGGACACGAAGTAAAAATTATTCAACGTAAGCGACGCGGTGCGACCGTTGAGCAGGCAGGGCCGCAGTGCACACAACTTCAATGAGGCTCGTTGGTGGCGTTTACAAGTGTCGTACGGCTTTCACTCAGTTGTACATTGTTGTTTTTTTCTTTTGTGTTTTAATGTACTTATTTTTCACCTGTGTCAAATATTGTTTGACTGGGGCATACTGTATGTTATACAGAATCTTGTACGCCAAAAAAGTAAATTTTGAAAATTCTGTCACTTAGAAGGTTGTTCTCTACAATAACGATATGTGCCCACGCGTGGGAAGTGAAAGTGAAAGGAATTGAAAATGCTTTCAAACACAATCATGAAGGCCCCAACAGGTATATGGATGCAAAAACTAATGTTTCGGATGGGAATGATACGCTGACTTACTTTACTATGGCGGCGCCGGTGGCCTAGTTAGTGGTTAGGCTACCGGACTCGTAATCGGGAGATTTCGAGTTAGGGGTTTGAGCGTCAGCTCGGTCCGACGTTGTGTTCTTGGGAAAGACACTTTACACCAATTCCTCACTTGGCTCGATCCTTTCGGAGATGGTCGTTAAACTCAGAGGTCCCGCCTTTTAAATAACTTAATATTATTGATAGGGGCGCGAAATCTATACCATTTCACTATTTCATTTAACTCTTCTATAGTGCGGTCAAAAATTCGTGACTTTTTATTGTCGAATATCTCCTTAACTTCGAACATAGATTCTCCAACTTTTACACAATGACTTATATCAATTTGTCTTAACAGATAAATATTTTTTCAAACACCTGTACATTATATTTTTAAAAATTCTTCAATGAA